TTGATAATCAACGTGCTTTGTACCGCACCCATGTATAATAGGCGGAGGTGCATAATCGAGGCCTTTCCTCGAATTCCCTCCGATTCCTAACTATTTCCGAGCCTCAGCGGCTCGGATCGCTTCGCCGACTACATGGCCAAAGTATTTCAGAATTTCAACGAGCTAGCTCGCTCTTCGTGGCCCTGAGGAGGTCAGGAAGACCTTCGTCAACTCCCTGTCCAAGCAACGTCGTTTTCTCGGCGTCCTCTATATTTCGGAAACGGAAAGCGGGATCTATTTTTTATCATCTACGCTTCATCTCTCTCTCTCTCTCTCTCTCTCTCTCTCTCTCTCTCTCTCTTCGCTTTTCATAGTTACAACATTAGAATCCCTCGCTATTAAAGCAAAGTTACTTATATCGTCGCATCCATAAATACATATATATAATATATATAAATGATAATGATACGATCTTTATTCTTGTTGAAATTCCAAGGAAGTCGCTGCCGGTAGATACCGATATCCAAGCGAAGGTATATCGTATCCGCAATCATAAGGACATTGCGATTCAGGGAGGCCCGGGAAGTGGACCGTTGTGCGGGTTATGGTTCACGACGGTCTCCGAGGGGTTAAAAAAAAGGGAGAGAGAAAGAAAGAGTGCGCGGCCGTACCGCCATCCCTTGCAGAATCGACCGCCGGGTGCCAAGCCGGGACGGGAACAGCGCGGGAGGCCTGGGCTCCCTTGATTTCGGGTTGCAACGCACGTTGCCTGACATTGATTTTCCTCCGCCTCGCCCTCCTCTATCTTCTCTCCATTTTGGCCCTCGGCCTCTTCTCTCTCTCTTTCTTTCTCCCTAACCCTCAACATCGCCGTCGGTTTCGCCGTCCTCCTCGCTCTTATCGCGCCGCGGTCTCTCTTATCCTTCCGATTCGTCCGTCCCTTTGTCCCTCCTTTTCCCCTCTTCTGACCGTTCTCCTCTTCCTCTCCCGTTCGGAGCGAGTGCTCGCCCGAGCGGCGACCAATTTGGCGCCACCGAACAAAATGTGTCAAGGCCTGGCGAGATCCACAGCGCTATACGCAATGCTCATACGCACACGCACACGCATCATCCTATTCTCTCTCCGTGTACGCAGCGTTTTTAACTTTCTGCAGGGTGGATGTTCGGTCGGGATCACTCGGTCGGCTCAGGATCTCTATTTCGAGTTCTATTTCTACACAATGGAATTCTACAGCATATCCGGAGGCTGGACCCTGGTATTTCATTCTCATGTCGAATCTTCCACCGCAAAATAGATAATCGTTATCGTGCTATCTTCTATTTCGCATTCTTTGAACTGTCCTGAAATATGCGATACCATCTCGCGCTCTGGGCCTCCATTTTCCCAGCTCGCTCACGCACGCGTCAGCGCGTATGATAGCGGCGGAGGCGCGGGCGAGATCGCGCTACGCATCCGGGGGAACCGAATATGAGGACGGGAGGGCTGAGAGAGTACGGGACCGCACGCTGATAACAGCGATACGCTTGTCAGCGGCGCGCGGCTTGCGATCGATCGCGGGTAAAGCTGCGGTGAGTTGCTGCGCGTTGCGGTAGGGCTGCCTGTGTATATCGGGAGTCACTCTTCGCGTTACACGTTTGTTCGATCCATTCAGCCGAAAAGGGAAAAAAGGGTCAGATCGTCGCGGCCAGCGAGGTGTGGGGATTGAGAGACGGGGGAGACCTTGGAGGCTGCCGTTGCGTTTCGTAACTTAACCTTTCCATTTTGCCTCCCAACCACCCGCCCGCACGTCCCTCCCGCGGGTCTCTCTCTCTCTCTCTCGAGCCTTTTTCCTCGCTTCTCTACCTCCTCCTTCCCCGAGCCCTTCGGTCAAACACGCACGATTCCTCCGAGAATCGGAGGCCCGCTCCGAATCGCCCGTATCCCCCTTCGTTTCCTTCCAGACCATAGACTCGCGGCCCTCAGGATCCTCCCCAGGACGTGACAATAATTCGAGGCGCGAGCGAATAACCAGGCTCGGGAGACTAATTGGATCGCTTAATTATTTTCCGAAGAGCGTTCGTTCGAGCCCTCCATAATAACGGTTTAATAACGGTGCCATACGTGCGGAGGAATGGACTAATTTCGTCCTGGGACAGATTCGGGCGGTGACATTTTCTTAGAGCGCGCCTCGATTCCGCGTTCTCGCGCGGTACGGAATTCGCGTTTCGTGGAATTTGGGCGCCGCATGGCTCGCACCTCGATTCACTCGGGGGAACGTAGCTATGTGTGGTAATCATCGATAAACACGAAAAGACCCCGAGCGGCGGGATCGGCGATTTCTTGGGCGGCGCAGATGGCACGATACCTTTCCCAGAAGCGCGCTCGTCCCGCTTCCTGGCCGGCACCGTTTTGCGTTTCTGCATGTCTCAGGGGCGTATCTACCCTGCAGCTTCGTCCCGCCTGCCCTTTCTCTCCTTCTACTGATGATCCTCGCCAAGCTCGTTTCCTCTCCCTCTCCCCTCTCTCTCTCTTTTTCTCTTTCGGGGCCCGTCCGGCCACTCTCTTCTCTTTCTCTCTCTTCCGGCTTATGGCGTTTTCGCGCGTACGCGCGCCTTTGTTCCGGCGCGCGGGTCCTTTGTGAATTTCATAGTCAGCTGCACGAGACCGTGTGTGCTGCCCCGCGGCCCCGTTTACATTTTCTAGGATGCCACGGCCCACTATTTTTAGACGCTGTCCGTCGCCGAGGAGCCGGCGCGGTTCCGCACGTAACACGCGCTAGCCGTAACCGCGCGCATGGTTTTTTTTCCCGCCGCGACTGATATCGTCATTCGCCCGTATTTTCGGCGCACGTTTAATGATAAATGCGATCGTTTGTTCCACGCGTCAGGTTGACATCGAACGCAGTTTGCGCATCAAACGAATAAATCTCGGAATCGCGTGACGTTGCATATGTGACGACAATATGACAATAGTATAAAATAAATGTACCGTAAATAACAATTGACAAAAATGACCGAGAATGATGAGTATGATGACATGGAAAAAGAAGAGATTTTTCACGAACCACGGACGTTGAAAGAAAATTTTCGGAGTTCGCGGTTTCTTTGTACAAAATTTACCGTACATGCGTCACTTGGGCCCATGATTATTTATGCATTGAATGTGGCCGCTACAATTTTTACGATGGTCCAGCGTATGATGTTGGCTTGAACGTGATATCTTCTCGTCGTTCGCATTTTTTCCTGCCGTTTCTCGTGACACCTGAACGTTGGCGGCGAGTCCTTTCGTTTAGGGCCAGAACAGCCTCGATGATGGGCGGTCTCCTGTTTTTTCCTCCTTCGATCCTCCACCGAACTATTCCCGATTAATCTATATAATTTCGATAATGACACGGTGTGTCACGCAGCAGCCCGCTGGTGAATGGCCCCCGTTCAGCTATGCTCGTGAAACGCAAACGCGAATTTCGGCCAATTCATCTCGACTGTGATTCAGCATAGAATTACGTTAGAACTTGTTATTATTGTTAAACGCGCGCGCGTGCAACGACGTGGTCGCCGTCAGGGATCGACGGTGTCACGATGGGCCGAGATCAACGTCGTCGTATCTCTTTGGGATTAAACAAAGAGGATTAACGGACGACGAGACTAATGCGCGTTTCATTCGGAGGCGAACTTCATTGATACAACGCGCAGTTTCTCCGGCTTTACAATGAGCTTCTTGCTACATCGGGATGAAGTTCGAAGACGGTGTCACGCCTACTTCGCGTAACATTAGCTACTTCAATGTTAATGGCAAAAGTTGTTTTGATTTTTGTCGTACAAGTTCCACGTCGTGCAAACCTAACACTTTTTCCCACTAGATAATGGTAAAAATTGTTCTTATTTTTTCTGAATCACAAAAGATTTTTGAAGACACACCGTTACATATTTTCCTAGAACGATTTCCGGGGAACTTTTTCATAGAGTGTGCTTTTCAAGCATTGAATTTGTTCTGTTATCGATCCGGTTAATTAATTTAATTGCCTCAACAGTGTAAAACGTCAGTTTTAGAAAAAATCTTAACACTAATCTAAAAAAGTGCATTATTATAATGCACTTTTTTATAATGCGTCATTACATATTGCGTAGACGCACAATAAGGTGAAAAATTTCGGCCAAACATTTGGATGTAGCGTAACAGGAAATATACGGGCTGTGTTAAAAACGTTACGCGTGACAAAGATCGTTTGTCGGTTACGATCGGTTGCGCACGTTCGCACGTATAGCGAGGAGGCCGAACCGGCGGTTGCCGTAAATGGTACTTCGGGCGCAAGTTAATCGGGCTCGATGGGAAGTGTATTAGAGCCCGAGGTTGGCCTTGCACGCGCCAACAATCTCGGAGGCATTGGCCTAATGCTTCACCATGAATCGCTTGAGCCTGAGCCTGAGCCTATAAACTTTGTTTTCTTCTTGCCGATGGGACTAATGGCGAAGCGCGGCTGCGCGCGGACAGAAAAAACTGTGTGTGTGTGTGTGAAAGAGAGAGAGAGAGAGAGAGAGAGAGAGAGAGAGAGAGAGAGGGAGGGAGAGGGAAAGAAATAGAGAGAAAGAGAAGGAAAAAAAAGAAGCTAGGTTGCGCAATCTGCATTCACGCTTCCTTCCACGAAGGTTTCGCCGCGGCATTACACGCGCGTTTATACGCAGAACGCTATGATTAGCTTATAGGCTTACGTGTCAATTAAGTCGGGCAATCGTAGAAAAATTTTAACTCTACTTGAAAAAAGAAAAGATTTTTCTTTATCCTAGGTCTTTTGTGTAATACTAATCCACATCACGCTTGACAGTTCTGAGAATTTTTGTGTCTATTAATATTTTAACCGCCACGTACGTGAGTGATGTTTGTACTTTTTTTTTGAAAATTACAGCGTTTATATTCATCGCCTATGGATAATATTAATTTCGTGCAAACCGAGTAAAGTAAATATAAAAATAAATATGAGTACGATCTGCGTACGATTTAACTTAATGGATAAGAGTTTTAAACAAAAGTGTCTATCTTTCCAGGTACGAAATTGAAGTGTCCCTTATGCGAGAGACTATACGGCTACGAGACGAACCTGCGCGCTCACGTACGGCAACGTCACCAGGGCATCAGGGTGCCATGTCCGTACTGCTCGCGAACGTTCACCAGGAACAACACCGTCAGACGGCACATCGCGCGGGAGCACAAAGCCGAGCTCAGGCAGAAGGCCAACCAGGCCAGCTATTCGGTCTCGGACATTGTGCCCCAGTAACAATGTCTTCGGCGTCGCTGTCATCCTCGCCACCGTGGTCGCCGTCGCGGTTCGCGCGCGGTGGTGGTACCGGCGACAACGATCCCGGTGACCACCTCGCCGGAGCCGACCGCGAGACCGGATCGCGGTTAGAGCGTACGAGACGAGAGGAGAGCCTGCAGTTAGGTATACCTTCGTTTTCCCTTCGTCGTCGTCAGCGAACGCCGTCCCGGTTCCTCGTCGCGAGGGCAAATCTCTCTCCGCGTGCGCGCCTGGAATCGGTCGAAGAAATCGTAACGAGGGGCACGACCATGAAGATTCGTATACAGGACAAGAGACACGGGAAGAGACCTGGAAGAGGCATGGAACAACGATGCGCACGGCGCCTCGGACACGCTCGCGAGAAAACGCTGCGAATCACAAAGCTAGTCAATGAAAGTGCAACGGTCAAGTAAGGATTATTAACTAGGAGCTTTTTAAACGAGAGGCGCGAGAGATATAGCGGGTGAAGGTAACGAGCTGAGCGGCGAAATGGCGCATAGACACGTATATACACGCAGAGCCGTTATAGCGCAGGCGACTGCGACGAGAGAACCAATGCAAACTCAGGTAAACTTTAATTCGTGGCACAAATCAGCGCCAGGAGAGAAAGCGCTACCTTTTTATAGTCCAACATTACCATAGATATCGGATTTACTCGCCGTCGCATTTTAATCGTTAACGCCGTTAACCGGTTTACCTGTTTCTGGTACTACTTATCGCTGTTGAGAAGTCGAGCCTATAGAATCGCGACGCTCCGACGGGCGATACCTATCCGAAACGTTAACGTTACGCGCGCACCAGTGCCAAAGACACGACGTTTTTTCTACTCTCGTGTAATCACACACGTCAATTTTCAGTTCCGCCTTTTCGTACACCACCGCGTACAACACGCACTTCGACTGCTATACATATAATAATCGCGGTGAAACCCACATATCCGAAATCGCGCCGAGACGACACCCGAGACGAAGAGTACACATCTTTTATACCGTTACGATTTTATATATAACGTTTACGAGATTAATACTGCGATTCTAGGGCGGACGACTGTCGTGCGATTATAGCCGCGGAAGTGCCGCGCAGCCGCTCGCGCAAATATATTTCTTGGCGAATGCGCGCACAATGTTATAGAAGTAAGTCGACCGAGCAATAATCACGTTCATATACCATTACACTACGTCGACACTAATTTTTCTGTAAAAAAAAAAAATAATTAAAAAGAAAATAGAAAACAAACGCATTCGCCACGGAAGTTTGTCGCGGCCGGCTGCGCCGCGCCTCGCGGCGAAACGATCACTACCACTTTGTTACCTGTTTACAATGTTTAAAATGCGGACTTTTGTCCGGAGCAATAGTCGCGTACCGTGAATATAATAGAGTATAATAGCCATCGATCACACATGTGTGGTTTTAAACAGTGCGCGCGATTACGCGCGAAATAGTTGCTATCCCGGTTGTATGAGATGTGATCAATGCAATAGATTTATATTACACATTACCTATATGTATAGATATATAGAGATATACTCCTAGTCAGGATGGCACCCACGATATTACTTGTTACAGTATTTACACTTTATACAGATTAATCTGCCTTATGTTTTTTTTCCGTTTTTACTTGTTCTCCCTTTCGTTTATTTTTTTTTCTTTTGCAGAAAGTTTTTAAACGTTTATATTCTCACAACGATACCCGCCTACCGTAAGTTATCAGAGACAATAGAGACGATATAGAGAAATATTTAGTATTTAAAGCGCGTCGTGCGCGAGCTGGGGGATATAATAGTGCACGAGATATAGAAGCCGAAAAGAGTTCATTTCCGTTTCTTCCTTTTATTTTCACTTTTTTATTTGTCTTTACTTTTCTCTTCTTTTTCTTTTCCTGTCTTTAATAACGTTCAACATGCCAAATATACGTGAGCACTCGTCGCGCACGCGCGCGCATAACTCTGCCAAAAGTATGACAGTACTACCTCATCGTTTTGCAATGCATTACACACACAGGGAACACAATAGCGATATTTTATACAGTATAATAAAACCTGTACATTCCGTACAGCCGCTACTATTACTACTGCTACTACTACTACTACTACTATTACTACTACTACTTTGTCCAGTTAATGTCAGAGCAGTTCTCCTGCCATTGCCACCCTCTTGCAGGGTAACGCAAGATCGTGGATCTCGGAGTTCGTCGACCGTTAGATTAATTTCAAACATGCATCGTAAATCAGAATGAATCGATCCACGCTAGTCAAGCACACGTATGTTCTATCTAATCTTGTTTCTCCGCCACAATCATTCTCGTCCCGCGTGAAAGAGCTCCGGGATCCTCGATCCGCGCGCGTGATGTCTATCTGTACGTAAAATAGGCCCGTTTTCTTTCCGTTTTTCTTTCGGTCGCGAGGGCGCATTATTATATGAAATAGCAACATGTATGTACAACTGTGAAGCCGTAGTGAGTGAGCGCGAGAGCGAGCGAGTGCGTACGCATATGTGCATGAACAGCCCGTGAATGCGCGCGCGAAAGTGATTCGCGGGTAGGAGGAAGAGCCGCAATTATGCGCCGTGGTGCATTGTCGAAATTGCGGCGCGAAATCGTCCGACGTGTCACGGACGTTGCTGGATGGTCGCGCGATGGACTGGTTGCACCGTTTTCGTCCCGGGGATGAAACGAGAGACGTGGCGATAAGACAGACGAGTTCTCGATCGCCGAAAGAGATCGGCGAGATCAGCGCCGATGCGCTGGCGGACGCGAAAGAAGAAACGGTGATGGTGGAAAGCGAAAATTATCCGAGCGTAGGTGACATCGATTGTCCCGAGGGAGCGCAAAGGGAAGTTAACCGGGGATAGGATTGATGATGCTGGACGACGGAGATTACATATAGTCATAGGGAAGTTAATTCCCGGGGGAGAAGCCGCGGGAAAAGGATATTCAAAGATGTTATGTGTCGTTTACGTATGTGATGATAGGAACATACACACACGCGCACACACGTACATACACGTACACAGAGGGATGGAGAGAGAGAGTTATGGGGAGAGACATACGTACACACGTGGACAGCACACAGGCTCGTGTAAATAGATACGGTCGCGTATGCCAAGTTATATAATGAATCTTTTACTTAATATATATACAAAATATATATATTGTTTTCGGCTGTTCTGCTAAGCAGAGGCAAAGGCGGGAGGGGGGAGAAGGATACCTTTAAGTGGTACAATGAATTAGCGTTAAGTTTAAGTAGAGGGATCGAGTTATCGGCAACGGAGCGGCGAAATTTGAAAGTTAGGGTAATAACGGTCAAGCGCGGAATTTCCGGGGGGGGGGGGAGTCGGTTAAACCCAGGGTTTAATTGTTTTGTCATACGTAAGGATTAGGAGTGCATACGTAGTAAAGGTATTTCACACCGACACCTCACACGAAAACACACACGTACACATATAGCGGATCGGAAGGACGAGAGAGACAATGTCGGTCGGAGGGAATTGTAGGAAGAAAAGAAAGAGGATGACACACACACACGTACCGAAAAGATAAACGACGTAGAATTAAAGCGAAAATTTAGAATTAATTAGTCGTATATTATCGCGACATCGGTTTACGCGCGTAAACGTTATTCGGAACGGCCGAAAATCGGCAATTTGACTCAAATCGATTTTAAATCGTTGTTAATTTCGTCGTATCGCTTTGCTCAAAAGTTAATCGCACGATTCTTGAAACGCGCTTTTGAACGAAATTACGATATTTTTGTTGTTTACTTCTTACTCTCGATTCTCCCCGATCTCGTTGACCTCGGGCCGTTCCGGGGCTCGAGGGTGAGGTTCCAGATTCGATGTTACAGTCGATTTTCGTCAAGGTACGCGCGAGAGACGAATCCGCGATCGGAAGTCGAAAGTGCGAAACGAATACGCGCGCTTCCGTCTTCGGTTTCCGTCGTACATCCGGTGTAAGAATTATATTTGGTCTATATGTATATATATGTACACGCAGAAATACACACACACACACACATATACATGGAGACAGACACGTACACACGTACACGACACTCGCGCGACGCGCGTACGCGTATGTATGTACCATTTATTGTATCACGGCGGTAGGATAAAATGTTGCATGTTGTTTCTATAATATGTGTTTTACGGATTGAGAATCCTTTATAGATGTCGTGTGTGACACAAGGCTTGACACGAGAGGCGAGGGAGATTCACACCGTGGCGCGCTCGCGCGCGCACGCTTTCGAGGGGCAAATGCGAATGCGATCGTGCGAGGTAGCTCATCCGAATATAATCAGAGTGAACGGGAAATTCGTGTAATTTGGATTGTCCGCGTTAAATTAGCTAATCGCTTCTAAATTGACCACGAAAGTTTCACAAAAAGGGACAAAAAGGAAAAAGTCTCGCACGTTTTCGATCTGGTTCTTTCGGCAAACGATTCGAACGTTGTTTAGATTGTATTGATTTATGAAAATTGTCGTTAAATTAACAATAATAATTGTACTACAATGATTCGGCTGCAATATTCGAAGCTGCACGTTCGAGCACGTTCGAAACGGACGATCGTCACGGTGTGAACGGGCTTTCCGTAACGGGGAACCTTCGTTATCATTCGCGTCGCGCGGGCAGCGAGCTTCAGGACAAGATAGAGAAAAAAAAAGGAAATCACGCGGCTGCCCGCGGGAAGGGAGTGAGGGAGCAAAATTGATGTCATCACTGCACCTACACCGCGCGCAGAGAATGCACTGGCAACTACTGTACCGTTTGCTCGTATAGTATATAATAGTACTATACCGTAGTTGATAATGATTACATAGTACATGTATCACGCACGCATAAGCATATTTAAAATCGACGGAGCAAAGAAAGAAGAGAAAAAAAAAGAAAAAAAAGCAAAAAGATGATATGGCAGAGGGAGGGGAACAAAAAGAAGACGAAGAAGTAATAGGACACACGGCGTAGCGATGTCGCAGAGCGGGACCTCGAACGTCCGGGGAACGAGCGGCTCGTTTCCCGGCCGCAACTTATAGTACAAAGTAAACGTAATGTTTAAGGGTTAAACAAACAGGACAGGCAGGATGTGTGGATTTTGTAAACTTACTATACACGCTGTAGAAAAAAAAAAAAGAAAACAGAATTGTATAGGTAGACACACATAGGGAAAGAAGAGAGAGCAAAAAACCACAAGTGCGCCGCGCGGCCGGACGCGTCGGTGACGAGCTCGTTGTCGAGGACCGTTCCGCACGATCGGCCTCCGCTCACGAATCACGATGAACGATTTCGCCGTAACCCTTTGTATACCTCATCGACATGGGCCCGTCCCATGACATCGCGGTCGAGCTGAACGCTTTAAACGCGCGCGAACTGTTTCGCTGTGACGTCCGAAGAATCCCTGTCGTACACTCCCGAGGCGTCGCGACGACGAGACGCCGCGCCTATCTCGCGCCCCATTCCTTTATCTTATCAACAATAAGACTGATCTCTCATCGTGGCGACGTATGCGAGAACACTGCCACAGGGGCCGGGTCGGGACCTCCGCCAGCCTCGTCGCCGATCGCGTTCGAATATAACGGCCCGCGGCCCGCCGCAATAACGGATCACAATACTTCGTCACACACTAGTACAAATGCTACCTCACACACGACATACAGGGTGCGCACAGAATGAAGCTTACGAAAAATCTCTGTGTATAACATGGTAAAGCGATAATTTGCAAGATCGTCGCGTCGCGCCGCCGTCGTTACCGTCGGTTTCATTTCGGGGGATGGAAAAGAGGAAATGAGAGGGAAGATGTGGTAGAAAAGAATAGTGGAAAAAGACTGTCAATGAACGGACAAGCCCCTCGCCTCCTTCTCCCCCTGAAAACGTCGACGCGACGCGCGGCGCGTCGCGAATACTTTTCTCTCAGGAATATGAAAACCAAGTACAAACTACAAAGTATAATAGTCGATAAGGTTCTTAATAAACATAAATCAATGAATCAAGCGATGCAATAGTCGGGTGTATAGTAGGGACTGTGTTGGTGTGTTCGTTCGTTGAAAGACCTCTTCTCTCCGATATATATATATTGCCGTGAGTCAAACGTTTGTTGATTGACCACCGCAAATTCGCGATCGCTCGCCACTGGAAATCACTCTACCGGACTTATCGCCGATTTCTCTCTCGCGATTTTCCCGCATGGCAAAACCGCCCTGCGCGCGGTTACGCGTGCATTACAAATATAGCGAGTCTAACGCGCTTCTCTCGAATTTTTCTGTACGCGAGAATCCTTCTCGCGAAAATGTTCTCGTTGCTACAATGTATATTTATTCTTCGTTTGACTCTTCTTTCTCGTCCAGCGACGTTACCATTTTCCTTTTCTTTCGTAGCAGATCGGCACATCGCCGAGCGATATTATTCTTGTTCGCCGATTTCTGTTTGGCCGGCCAAACGAGGCACGTCGCTTGTATCCCACCGAGAGTTTACGATGATTTTTTTTCTTTAATATATACGTATAGGACGTAACGTTACTTTAAAAGAAAAAGTAATAATAATAAAAGGGAATTCCGTACAACATAGACGCAAATTAGGGCTTCACTTTGCTTTCCGTTTCGCGTCGGTGGACGCGAGGATCACCGTATCAGTGTGTCAGTGGAATCCTCTCCTTCTCTGATTAACGAGCAATTACCGCACGTTTAACCTGCCGTTTTTCCTTTAACGTTTTCTGTTGTTTTTTTTTCACGACGCCATGTCGGCGGAAAAATGCGAGTTTTCTTTTGATTGTTGGACGCGAGTTGTTTACCTAGTACTCGGAGAATACCGATAGATCAGACTTCACCAACGCTTAACACGTATGTACACAGACACACGCACATATGATGATACAATATATTAATAACTGATAAGTATACGAAACCGCTTCTACCTCAGACTCCATATATTTATATATATATATATCGATATATATATAGTTACGCGCATTACCTACGATTCCTCCGGTTTCTTCGTTTTCGCGAAGTATTATTTTTGTTCTCCGTTTTTTCTATCATCGCCGCATATTTACGCCGAGGTGAAGTCGTAGGTATGCCGGCATCGTAGAGTGGACAACAGACGAATGAGATTTATACGTAAATATACATATATATACATATACATATATATTTAAAGAGATAGAGAGAAATAGAGAAGGGAATATTCATATATATTATACCCATCGTGGACCCTCCACGATATCACCCTCCCCCTCTTCTATCCGAGTATAATGTAAATATATCCGTTTATATTTATTTATTTATGTTTCTATGCGCTGGACGCGTCTATGTTACACGCAATTACAAATTAATTGATAATCTATCCCTAATAATAACGAGAGAGATAAAGAGAGAGGAGAGAGAGAGAGAAAGAGAGAGTACACTCATTTTTCAATATAAATATATATATAAAAAAGTATATATATAAATACATATAAATAGATAGTTATATATCTAATAATTAAGGAATACTTGTTTAGATCTTAAGTGATCCCCGCGTCGTGGTCCCGCGATGCGACTGCACACTCTTCGAGAGCCGAAGCAAACTCTACCTATAGTAAAGCAAAAAAAAAACGAAAACAAAAAAAAAGAAGACAAAGAGGGAAAAAATGTGGCGCTTTATGCATCCGATGGCGCGGTGCACGTCCGGCGAGCTTCTTCCGCGCGCCGGAAATCGCCGCAAGGCCCGAAAAGTCACACGGCGAACGCTTCCCCGCGTGTTTCACGTTGATCTGAGCTGCGACCTCCCTTGCGATCGAGCGGCGCTGCCTTCCGAAGCTACAATATCTCGCGTTGAACCGCAAACGGCATAATCGGATTCGCCGATTAAACAGACTTACGTAAAGCCGAGCCAGATCAATGCGAATCACACTTCGATTTCCCGACACTCCTGGGTCGCGTCGGCACGATAGATTTGTCGCCAGACGACGATATCGTGTCGCCGGTAACGATCGAGGAGGGTGTCGCTCGATCTATAAATTCCTTTCTCGTTCGACTCGCGCCACGTTGCTTTTGTTCGTACCATTTTTCATCCCCACGCGCGGATGAAACCTGTCGAGAGAAGAGCTTTTTTTCCGAGGCGGGCGTGAGGCTCGCGGCGTGCGTCGCGAATACGTGGTTACCAATTTTTGTTTTAAGTTGAGAGATTAAGTTTATGTTACGTAATTATTGCTGTAAATCGGGTGAAAGAGAGAGAGAAAAAAAAGAGAAGAAGATAGATGCGAGGCGCCGAAATCGGGCTCGTTTATTTGCGGCACGAGCGAGGCGCGTATGGGCATAGTTGCGTTTTCGAAAATACGAAACGACACTTCGCGAGTTATTACGAACTATTTTATTTATAAGAGGCGACACAGGTACGCGTGCGTGTGAGTGTGTGTGAGTGCTAGGAGGAAAAGAGCGTGCTAGAGAAGCGATCGCTGCGAACAGAGACAAATACGAATTCGCGTAAGACGGGGAGAAATGAAAACCGATAGAATATGGGAGAAATACAGAGAGGAGAGTGTATGTGTGCGTGTGTGTTTGCGGATATGCGCGAAGGAGAAAGAGGCAAGACACGGAAGAGTGGGATAGGGGAAGAACGCCGAAACTCTGCCATCGCAAAACGATCCCGGACGGGAAATGGGGGTTGAGAGAAATCCTTCGAGGAGGGAATGTGTAAAAAAAATTATAAGTTTCTTTTTTTCTTTATACTCCGAGCGCGGACGGGGTGGCAGGGATTCGTGGCTATGCCGTTGAGTGTAACTCACCCTTTTTGTTTGTATAAAAATTAATCGAAATTTAATTAGATTATTAATAACTGTTCGATTACTGTAAAACAAAAGAAAACTTTACCATTAATTATAAATTACAAAAAACTTGGAGCACCATGGATTTTTTTTCATTCGCTAATTGACCGTTCCCTTTGTATCCTTTCCCTAAATCCACGATTGACGACAAATCATAACGGGTAATCAACAAACGAAGTGGCATGAATTGCAAACGTTATTATTTTTACAATCGTATATGTTACATGTCGTAAAATAAATTGGATCTCAGTTAGACGACCGATTTAAAATTATATCGGACGCTCGTTCGGCCATCGCGACAAGAACTGAATTCGGCGTGCCGGAAATTGGAGATGGCACTACGCTGGCGTCCATTATCCTCAATCCACTCACGCCTTTTACCCTAGAGAACGTAATTATAATTTTATTACAGTTACTCCGCTCATCCTGTACAAGACGTCCCCGTAAATGCCCCATCGTTTACCTTAATTCCTCATCTACAACCGCGTCGTCGTCCGCGCTTATTTTGCATGTGCCGCACGGATGGTAGCTCGTGAGTCCTGCGATTCTCATGACGCACTCCGAATAATCGACGTCCCGATAGTCCTGTCGCAAATGACGGCACTCTTCGAAATCGGGGACGTGGACCTTCGCGCCGTATTCGCGAAAGAGTCTCGTATCAAGAGTCTCCAACGCGAAGTTTATAGCTTAGCGGATAATCAAAATTAATTGTCAGTCAGTTTAAATAAATTTACGCTAAAGGGGTGGAAATAAGTTCTACAATTTACTCTTTTAATGAGGGTAAAATTTGTTTCAGCAACGTGGAACGATCACGTTTACCTCGATAGGTACACATTACGTCGTCGGGATCCTGAAGGTACGCGGGATTAATTTTCGGAGGGTCGCGGATGTCGCTCGATCTCAATGTTATGCTTCCACGACTCTTCGGTTGCAAACACGTGACCAGATATATAAATCCCTCGTGCATGCTGTCATTATACGACGGAAATAGCGATCTAAACGTCTAATGAACGATTGTTAATTCTCCTCGAGCCATGTAACGATCATTAAATTGCAAATAATAATCGCTAAGAATAGAACATTGCAATCACACGTAACGAAAAATACGATTGTCCGTCGAAAAGCAACTGATTGCGATACGTTATTTTAGTCCGTTAGTAACGTTAGTTAAAGTCCAAATATATAACAGCTCGGTGTGGTTCATTCACCTCGGTCTCGAAATTTGAGATGGCCTTCAGCAATTTTTCCTCCGTGGACGCCACTCCGAAGAGGAGGAGGCCACTGTTATTAGCACGCCCGAATCCCATTACGCCGTTAGTGGCCAACCATCCTTTGACATGCAATGAAAAAAAAAATAAGGTATACGGCGAAATTACAATGTCGGACCGCATGAAGTGTGTGTCTATAGACATCGCAAGTAAATGACAGCGTCGTTATTGGCGCGTTATCGCATTTACCGGTTCCGAAGGCGAAATAATTGAACACCTCGGGTACAGTTTGCAGCTTCACGAGCGTGATACTGACTCGTTCCCGCAGATTTACGTAAACGGGCACGTTCAGATGATCGAACAAATTTCGACCTACCTCGGGCAGATCTCGCACCACGGGTATCTACAGATCGAATTTATTGTTTTACTCGAAATCGAAAAGTTTCACAGTGATATTCTTATTTATCACCTTATGCTTCTTCAATTCGCCGATTGGTCCTATGCCAGAAATCAAGAGTAACTGCGGAGTGTTGATAGTGCCCGCGCAAAGAATTATTTCCTTCCTCACGCCGATTTTCCCCACGGAGCCGTTTTTATATATTACTTTAATGCCATCGGTTTTGCTATTCTTGAAAAGTATCTACAGCGTATCGAACCAAAAAGTCAAAAATGTATATTTATGTGAACAAAATTGAAGGGCTAAGATACGAATAATTATTTTCAATAGCATTTTTTTAAATATAATTATTTTCTGGTATATTTTTATACTCTTTTGAGTGGAGTTATGTTATTGAAAAAATAGATGGCTTATCGAAGATTTTTTCTCTCTAGCGTGATATATAAAATATACTATGGAGACCTTGGCGACGAGTGTATTCATCAGAATATGTAAATTTTTGCGATTCCAAGCCTTCCGCAAATACGCGTGATGAGTACTCCATCGGGCTCCGTTCTTCGCGGTGTACATCGCTTTTCGCAACGACACGTTATCCAGCTTCAATGATTCCTCGGCCAGGACGAAGGCCTTCGTTAGATACTCTTCCTCCGGCATCGGGATAACGTTCATAATATTGGACACTTTTTGAAAGTAGGGAAGCAAGTCGGCGTGCGACCAACCCTTCGGCCATCTCTTGTAATCCTCGGGCCTCCCGAAAGAATGAACGAGATAATTAAGCTGCCCGCTTCCTCCAAGTCCTTTTCCCCTTGGCCAGTTTTGTCTCTAAACAAACGTGACCAATCAGGGAATCCGCCCCGTCGTCAAAAAAATGATTCCAAATTCGGGAATTTTCGAAATATTGATCGTTTTGTACTGCACGGAAAAAATATTTTATAAGACGCGTAGCATAATCTTTTAGATCAATACTATTACTGCTATTATATTATTCGTCAGCGCGTAAAACGTGCCATATTTTCGTGCTTTGTGAGAGTTACGCTATGTGGGAGAAAATATCTAGAGAAATCGTTCTCGCGAAACGGAAATTCCTTCACCGAAGGATAGAGCTTTAATTACATAGCCGTGGAGCCCTCGGGACGAGAAGACTTGCGGCTCCGTTTGGTAGGCCCAATCGACCTCGGTGCCTTGCATCATCGGCGCTAAGAGCGGCATGGTCGATAGCCATCCGAAGTATCCGCCGGCCTCCACGAGCAAAACGGTCACGTTCGACATTTCCGAGAGCCGTGATGCAATCACGCAGCCAGACGTACCAGCGCCGACTTGAACCCCGCAGCAACAAAAAGCGCAATTTTTAGTCATACGTAAAACTCGTGTGGTTGTTTTTCTTTATTCACTTCGTGACACGTAGAAAAATGTTAGCGGTAATACGAAATATTGAAGATTTATTAAATTGAATTTTAAAAATATGCAAATTTAAATTAGGGATACAAAACAAGCAGCATTCGAAGGCGCGCAATTGACAACTTTGTATCTCAAATTTCGCTTATAAAAAAAGAAAAGGGAATCGTATATCGCAATTGATATTTTCCGCCCGTTTATTCTGAAGCATCTAGAAAGCAGCTATCAATCTAGCACAATGCGATTTGCGCCAATCCTCTTTGATTAAAAATCGATGCTCCGTGTTTCGGAGCACGAAGCGGAGGAGGAAGAGTGCTGGAATCGCGACGAGCTGAGGGTGCCCCGGCCGACTCGACGAACATAAATCGAGAAGCGAACTCACCGACAATGTAGTCGTAATGCGTCTCAGGATAAACAACGACGCTGGCCGGCTCGCGAAAGTAATAATGATAGAGCAACGACGCCAGCAGGATTGCGATCGAGATCGATACGTGGCCCCACATGCCTCCTTATCGAAAATCAACAGCGAAACACGTTCGGCCGACGGTCGCCGCGCGACAATACTGAGACAAACGTGCAAGACAACGCGGAACTGCAGCGACTACACGTTCGATCCCGATATTAAATTAGTAGCTCTCCGTTCGTAATCGATACTAGTCTATAAGTCTAACTCTATAAGCGGTCCGAAGCATCGCGACAACGACCGGCAGCGCGGCATCGGGAATACGTAATTGTTATCGGGTAAAATCGTACCCGATCGGCCTGTTGCGTTAATATGTTTATTAAATATCGCATTCCTTTCTCTCCCCTCTCTCTCTCTCTCTTTCTCTCTCTCTAATCCCTATTTATAATTTTAATTGGCTACAATTGATATTCTTGTAACATGCGCGCGCGCACACTTTTCAATCATCCTCTCTAACAATCGGAACAATCCTATAAATGAGATAGCAATCTATAATACCAAGTTTGTTTTAGTACTCTATTATAATTTGTGTATTTGTATTCATATATTTGTTCTATTTTAAGCTATTTACGAGTCTTTCCAATTATTCCTCGTTAATATCCTCTTTTTAATTGCTAAATACGAAAGGAAAGCGTTTTCCGATTTTTAGGAAGCTTGCGTTATGACAGAAATAAATCTCTGTGAAATTAACATCCTATTTTTCTGAAAACTGTTATATAATTAAAAGAATTCTCTTTCTGATACATATTCCAATTTACCAAAGTAAATTATAAGAACAAAAAATAATGTCTTCAAATCTTTCTCAAGTAAATTTTCTACTAACAAATAAGTATTCTTTTTATTTTAAAATGTATAAAAGATCCTGGATCGCGTGAAATTTAATTGTAATAACGTCTTTCTTTTGCAAATTATGTTCATCGCCCATTGCAGTGATCTCTATTACCGGATGCTGACATTTGACCATCAACGAGATAATATGATTTAATTTTTCTCTTTTTTGTTACATCGATTATCTCAAACATATCTTAATATTCAATGCTAAGGATCAATCGCTCTATTGGGAGCTTTCCAGCAAGCGACACAAGTCGACACAAACGTCGTTCTATCTTTCTTTTTTGGCAATGAGTAACAAAGACAAAACGACACTTGTGTCGACTTGTGTTACTTGCTGGAAAGCCGCTTATCTTTACTAACTCACGTAAAAGTCATCGATCATTTTATTTTCATCTACCGATAACTATCCTGTCCCACCATCTGTTTGCCCATTCAAGAACACCGTAGTCAACCGCGTGCCTACACTGCCCACGTGGGCCGAGTGCCGAGAGTGAAGAGTCTCTCAAGTCTCACAACTTCTCGCAACATGCGTATAGAGACGTGTTATTTCTGTTCGTCCCGGATATATCCGGGACATGGGATTCAATTCGTGAGGAATGATTGTAAGGTAAGAGCTGCACAATTAATCTAACATTAAATAACGCGATAAACTTGTAGAGTAAAAGAGTATACGTGTATAGCGTGTATATTGATATTGAAATGAGGTTATGTTCCTCGTGTAAACATCGTAAGCATCGTAGCAAAGTTAGAATATAAAAGTTTTCCTCTTGCAATTGACATTTTTCGAGTATCTCGAAGCAGTGAAAAGTAAATCTCTTTTTTAAAAAATTATCGCTTTCAGTTCTTAACAATCTCAGCTAATTTTTGACGATTGTTTCTGCTTGTCGAAACGACACATCGCTACATTTTGTAAATGACATTACAGATATTCAAGTTCTGCCGCTCGAAATGTCACGCTGCCTTCAAAAAGAAGAAGAATCCCAGAAAAGTCAAATGGACCAAAGCCTACAGAAAGACCGTTGGCAAAGAATTGGCAGTGGATCCAACGTTCGAGTTCGAAAAGAGGAGGAACGTACCTGTCAAATATAATAGAGAATTATGGGACAAGACTGTACAGGCGATGAAGAAGGTGGAAACTATTAGGCAGAGGCGACAGAATCTGCACATTATGCAGCGATTACACAAGGGAAGGGAACTCGAGCAGGAGAGAGATATCAAGGAGGTACAGCGTGACTTGTCTCTCATCCGTTCGCCAGCTGCTGGCCTCAAAGAGAGGAAGAAACAGGAAGAGGTGGCCGAAGAGCAGGAACAGATGCATGTTGAGGAAGATTCCGGCAATGAACTTGAAGCCGAGGCAGTGGAAGCGAATTAAATCGTTGTATATATTTTTATATAGGTCTAAATCATCTTATTTTCGTATCCCACAAATTATTCCCGCAGTGTTAATAAATTATTTACGACATACGTTATAATAATTCTCTCTATATATAGATACCGAAGTAAATAATTTCTGTATAGATATTTAATTTTTATTTGTGTAACAAAAGAAAGCGAAAGATTATCACTGCGAGAACACTATACAAGAATAAAAAATATAAATAATTTTTTTGTTTACTGTGTATTCGTTCGATCTGGTACTTTTTCAATGCCAAATAAAAAGTAAATGTTATACGATATTTATTCTCCGAATTTTTCTTTTTTATCTGAAAATTCGTGTTTCGAAACTCTTTAAGAGATCTCTATAGATGGAGCTACTAGGACCAATTGTGACTGTGAGCAGACTAAAATGTATTCGGTTTAACGCGGTTGTACGATTCTTATTCATTCCATCCATTCATTCATTACATCCGTTTTATGACCGTCCATACATTTTGCGAAAGACATACCGGCCGTACAATATTCTCGTCATAGGGAACACTGTAATAAGTATAATGTTCCCCCATTATAACACGTAATTGTACAATGGGCGCGCATTAAAGCTGTGATATTCCGAGGCTTTGACATCAATCGTCTGGCATTGTACGCGAGCACCGTTTCTCTTTCCACATTTTGCTACGTGTTAAATGCGTAATTATGACATCGATAATACTTACTTGCCTATCGCGTACCGTCTGAATAGCTCGGACAATACGCAGAATTTATTGCATGTGATATAGACACCTTTTATCATAAAAAAAAAAAAATAGAATTTTATCGTATAAAAGAATTACAAGACGAATTACATACAAATTGTCAGAAACATCAAATAATATGGTGACGTCTTAAAGTCTAATGGTGACTTCGATCAAACTTCGATTAACTTAATTGATTATAGCTTATCAAGTAATACAAGTATTATTTTGTTAATATGAATGAAATTATTAATCTAACATGTATAAAAAAAGGATCAGACCAAGGACAACGAATTATGTAGTTAGAAAAAACTTCAAGCATTTTTGCCGATTGAATTAATCACTTATTTAATTACCTATTTAATCACCTATTTAATTAATCGGAGTTTGATTGAAATCGCCATAAAAGATGTCTTATGGAGATGTCTTAGAAAGATTTCGCTATTTGTTTTGCCATATGTATTCTAAGTAATTAATAAATGTTGCGGTCAGTGCATAATATAAACAGCTACACATGTTCTTAAAAAAATATCTTATAGAAGATAATTTTTTGATCTATTTTTAGAAAATCTTGAAGACGTTTTTAAAACACACGTGCTGCTTCAAATGTATGTTAAAATTATCCCTCCTAATCTATGTTGTAATAAATTAAATGGGATCTTTAAGGGTTTTCTTGTAGAAAAAAAAGAAGAGGAAGAGTCTTCTATTCAAAATTTCTCAGTGGCCACACCACGGACCCGTGTGCATCGCTTCTTTTATGACAGGACACGGGCTTTCATAGAACCCGCACGTCCCCGAGGTGCGACCGCGCCTCGATGACACTGTAAACACTCGCAAGGTGTTTCCAGCAATTACCAAGCAAACTACGGCGCGATGTTTGCCCGCGAGCGAAAAGCCTTGTAGGACGCGTCCAAAAGGGAGCACCGCGACGGGCTCGGGACGGCACTCGTGTTACGCGTACAAAAAAATATTTTTACGGGCGTGAGCTTGCAGATTCCCCGAGGAGGAGGACGCACCGCGACCGATCCTTTCGACGAAACGATCTTTTTGAGCCTCGCCGACGACGACGTCGGCATCAACTTAAAACTGAAATCGTCTGGTAACGCGACGCTGATCGGCTTCGGATCGATTGTAGATGACAAATGGCGATGTGTTTCTTTTCATAGAATCAGAAATATCTATAGGTGCGTCACACGGAGGATGAAAATATAAACTCGATGCGTGTGTAAATTAATCGCGAATTAGTCGCGCAAAAAAAATTGTGTTCATTAAAAAAAAATTTTTTTTTTAAATAAAAAATGGGATTAAATCGTGCGATAAAATTAAATGTTTGAAAATCGATGTCGCAGCGCGACGAAAAAAGAAGGAACAAATTGCAATTTTTGGAATACGAAATACACGCTTCTTACGGCATGTGCTGCATGCGAGAATTAAATACGTCACGTGTGCGATCTTCAAGTGCATCTTTCCCGAGTACCTCTCGAGGATCCTTCGAGAAACCGCGTGCGCGAGTATTTCGTACGGGATCCGAAATTCGCGACCGAAAGAAATGCTTTCGGCTACGCGCGATGATGCGCCGATGTTTGCTGAGGAAACAGACAACTCCGGAGTACATGACGCGCGTGTTACGAATCGTGATACAGTGTACGGCCAAATAACAAAAAGAAAAGTTATACGTTGTACGCGTGGTTGTTGTATCTACTTCGGCCGATTGATCAATAATCAATGTAGTACGTCTGATGAAGCCATTCTCGTATCAAGCAATGACTTATGTAGAGCATTTTGTACGTAAAAGAGAGACTTTTCCCCAGAAAGAATTTGTACCCTGCTAGTAATTAGATATCTATATTATTACTACATCTTCATGTAAAAAATAACTGTCAACAAGCGCATGTTTTTTTCTTTCAGTATTAATTGCAGGAGACGAATGTTTTACGAGTATTACAACTTTTTTTTTTGCGATAATTGATTTGTCATTAATCACGAGATAGAATATACTTTTTTATTGTTCATTTAACAATTCCTTTTTTTGTCGCCCACGTAACTCCGGGACAAGCACGAGAGGAACGTCGAAGCTGTTGACAAAACCGACATTATCCGGGTACTGTCAACGTTTATATAATCATCGTCGCGTATCGTAGGAAGGTCCCTGTAATAACATCTTCTACTGAGGTCACGAGAGCAGCATAAATAAATGAGGCGACTGCGTGAAAAGACTCGGGGAAATAGTTTGTTCGGAATCCCGAGTCTCCGGCATTTAGTTGGACAATATTATTTTATGGCGACCCCAATAGGTCCTGGAAATTCCTTTAGATCTCACCGATCCGCAGCCCAATCGTAATTATTGTACCCGCGTATACATGGCGAGACTCGATTAATTAATACGCAGCGTGCATTTCCTCGAGCCTTAAGAGGCACCGATAATCACGGAACGCTTTTTAAAAAGGCAGTATTTGTACACACAACATTTTTTATCGACCCGTTAAATCTGGTATGAATCGCGTGGTTGCTCTTCCAGTGAACCGCATTGTTACCAAATCGCCTGGAATCATTAATCTTCGCTGTATGTTTTCTTAACGCGGGTGTAGCTTCATTTTCTCGAGCTCGGTCGCGTGGAAAGCTATAACGGTTCGAGCTCGTAAACATCACAGCTAAAAGGCACTAAGCTCAGACGGGCACGTTTAATTAAATTTCGATGTCGCCTCTTATCAATGGGATTCAAAATGGGATGAATCCATCGATAAAGACCTAACTCATGCCGCTTTCACCGTTGCTTTGGAATTCTTTTCTCTCTCTCTCTCTCTCTCTCTCTCTCTCTCTCTCTCTCCCTCTCTCTCTCTCTCTCTCCCTCTCTCTCTCTCCATACATTACACAGGAATGATAAAAATATAACCAACACATCGTTAAAGTCAAGATATAATCGTTAGATATGAGTTACTTTGAAATATTGTGCTTTAAGCTTAATGCTCTTTTGAAATTGAATTCTTATGCGATTTTTGTAATCCTTAGCCCCATCGCGATATGGATAATTTGTCGTTTGGGACGTTTGGGAATAATTCGGTTCATTTTGTCACAGCCACGGTTGTACAACCGTGGTCACACGTACCTTTACCACGGAACATAGGATTTAACTTCCTTTACGTTAAATTCTTTGATCTAAAGTCGCGGTTCCTCCCGAGAGTCAAAGTAAACGCAAGAGATTTGGTTCATAGGTCCAGGAAGTCCACGAGTAGCTCGATCTCAGCGATACGGTCGTGATTTGCGACCGCAGTGACTTGTCATAGCGCCGACTGTTATCTACGCCAGGCGTCTCGTCCGCTTCTCTTAATTTGAACCCGCGCGCGGTGGACAGACAGACTGCGAGACCCGCGCTCACTTATACTTCGGGATCACTGGGTCTGATCGGGCCAGATAGCGGCAGCGCGATCACCTGGCTACTCACGACCGATAACGGATAAGGGGGAAACGTCGTTTCCGAAAGCAGCATACCTATTAACTACCCACGGGAGAGGATGCGACCTACCGGAGACAGATGAATGTTTGACATTCCTGTCGCAGCCTCCGTTGTTGAAGCTTCTGGTTATTAAACGGCAAGATCGGATTAAAGTGTAAAGCCGGATAATTGGTAATTGGCTCTGTAGCGTAATTTAATTAAAGTAACAGCAAAAATAAAAAACAACATTATTTTACATTACACTAAAAATGCATTATAATTGTTTTATTTGTTTAATTATTTTATTAATTTTTACTTTTATTTTATACAAATTATCGTACTTTAATGTTGAAGCATTATTCTATTTTTATCTTAATTGTTATTTTTTTTTCATGAATGGAATTTTTATATTTATGTCCTATTCCCTTTGTTATTTTGTCACGACTGTCACGAGGGACTGTATTGTGGGGATGATATAATGGGCGCATTCTAGCACGAGTGTGCGCTTTCGCTTGCGTTCACCGGTACATCATCTCTTAGCGCGGCGTCGCATTCGGAGTGCTGTCGCCGTTTAAACGGATTAGATAGAATCTCCGGGGCGATTGAGTTTCCTCGAACAAGTCGGCATTCGGATTATCCGCGACCGGCGAACATAAAGATGGTGTCGAGGCGACGGATTTGCTTGCTTGTACACCGCCGACGTTGTCTGTTGTCCTGATCAACACCAGTTAATTCATTGTCAATCTCATTCGAAACATTTGGGATCAGTCTGTATTAAATGTGATCGACCGAAAGAGATGCTTGGAGAGATTTATTTTACGCCAGATTCCAAGATCTTCTTAGAACAATTGAATCTCGTCTTGAGAAGAGAGCATTGAGTAGAAATAATCACACGTGTACTAATTGTAATTCTAAATATTTTAAGATATATTTATAAAATTGCGGTAGTTAATCTCAACGTCTCAACGTTCTCAATCAGAAGTATCTCGCTCATCGGAATCTCACAACGCCGACGTTACGTTCGATTCAGAGAGAGTGCGTTAATACATTAAGTAAACAT